GCCTTCACAAAAAGACTACCTCGAAATATTGTAGCCCTTTTTTCCCAGAATACACTCTCGGTTGCATGGAGACAAGTCAATGTTGTTGTTTACGACGCGGACTCTGTCTATGGCTGTGGTCCAATTGCCTTGATCAAAAGAATGCTTGGAAAGGAACAAATGGGGGAAAATATGGATCACACCAACTTTGCAGGGCATCAATGTGAACTTATCTTTAGGGGCTTATTTTCCTTTCCTCCATGGTTCATTGTCCTTCATCATGAAGATGAAAAAAAGGACCAAATATGACTATGAACCTGTTTCATCCACTCTGAAACTGTTCTGGAATAGAACATTCCACTGTTGATCTTCAAAGCATGCTTTGCGCATGAAAATGTGGAGAAGATGCACTGAGAAGGAGCCCCTAAAGCTTCTGCCCCAGTAGGAGCTGGAGAGAGCCCTGTTTCAAGATAGCTACATTACTTGGGACAGTGTCCGCACTGTGGCCCATGCCTTAAATGCAGCCTATTCATCTCACTCCAAGAGGGTGTTGATGGTGGATGAGGAAGAGAGACTGGAACATCAGAGGCTGCAGCCTTGGCAGGTATCCCTTCTCCCTTTTACAACTCCACCACAAATGGGGAAAGACCTGTGGTCTAGAGAACCAGATATAAGTGTATAATCACTCCCCCTGAATGGCGGTGCAGTCAGGAAACAGAACAGATGCTACTGGCAGAATTACTTCCCCAAGTCGCTGCAGAAGCCACTTAGAAATAGAGCCCAAGAGCTGCTGAAAGCCAGTTATATGTAAAAAACCTCTCTTGACTTTGTGGTGAATTTGGTATTCTCATAAAAGATCGAGTGGGATCACACTTAATTGTTGTAGGCAGATGAAGCAGGCAAGCTTGCAGCAGTGTAGTTATAACCTGACTGTAGGTCCTCTTCACTCTTGCTAAACAAACTTACCTGTATGGAAGTGCAGGAGACAGGACTGGGTGGTAGGAAATGTGGTCAATGTGTACTGATGTGAGACTCTTGTTCTCAAGGAGGCTGTGCTAGGACCATTCCTTCGCAAAGCTGCTCTGGATTGGGGTGAGCACTGCTCAGTGGCTAAGAACCCACTTTTGGTTAGTGATTTTAAGAGCGTGCTGGGAGGCAAGTTGTCAATACAGATATCCAGATATCGTCTCTAGTTTTGCAACTTAGTCAACTTGGTGGCCGAGCCTCCTCAAAAGAGTCATAAGGAAGGTGACAAATGCCAGTGCGCGCCAGTTGCTGAGGGGCATGGAAGGGAAGGTGTTGTCCTGTTTCTGGGTTTCTTGTGGGCAGCTGATTGACCACTGTGTGAATGCCATGCCAGATTAGACAGACCCTTGGTTGATTGAGCAGGGCTTCTCTTAATCTTTATGTCTGTGCTAATTCTACTGACACTCTCATTTGTTCTCATCCTATAAAGTCTACTATTTTTATCGACCTTGTCCATTGTTGTTGGAGGCACTGAGACCTTGTTCCTCCATGACCTTTGAGATGCTTTAATTAATTTCATTTCCTTCTTTGACTTCCAGAGCTGCTGGGTTTCAGATGGTATTTCATTCTTCTGTTAGTATTCTTTGGCAGCTGTGAGAATCCTTTGGGCATGGCCATTGGGGTTTGCATGAAAAGTGTTACGGCATATGCTGCTGAGACAGCTCTTCCTTGCTTCTGGATCTGCACCTTGGCCAGTGTGTGAATCCAGGAACAGGTGGATTTTAATCCAGAAACCGAGCTTGAATCCTCTTGCAATTGAGACAGGTTTTTCACCTATTCTGGAGGGCATTGCATTTGCACTGAAGAAATGAGTTCATATTCTGGGAGAGTCCCTTGACCCAATGCCTTCACTGCTGGCTCAGAGTGTTTTTTCCAGCTTCTTCTGGTTCACCATGAACACTACTGGATGGGGATAACTGGGCAACCATGGCTGATAATCTCAAGGCTGTATTACTGAGTTGCAGAACTCTCCCTGATTCCAATCCAGAAGTAGCAAAAAATGCAGAAGGCAATTGCCTGGTGGTTGCTGCTTCATCAGCATCTAACCCCTCCTCTAAAGGAGTGACACTGACTTCTCATCTTGTCTTGGGTGAGGGTCAATGTTTTCCATGTTTGTTTAAAATCATTCAGAAGCAGGATATTTTTGGTACGCACATTCTCCATGAGTCTTGGAAATCTCTTTACTTCAAACACCAGGAGTGGAAATGTTGTGAATGTCTGGGTGCATGTGCAATGTTGGGGAGCAGTGAAAATGCTCCTTTCCTAGATTCCTTTTGATTCATCTTCTATTTTAGCATGGGAAGTTTTTCAAGTGCTCAGTGCATTGAAATTGGAAAGTGAGGATGAGCAATGGAGAAAATAAATGTATAAATATATAAATAAATAAATGTAATTCCTGATTTCAAATTGCCAATTGTGTTCTCTGTTCTAGCTTCACTCTTCCTTAAGAGAAGTCCAGTTTTCTAACTCTTCCATGAGTGGACTGTATATGGATGAGAACAGGCAGCTGGAAGACGACTTTGATATTGTGAATTGGGTGCTGTTTCCCAATGCTACTCCTGGGAGAGTGACTATTGGTAGTGTGACAAGACAGGCCTCTGCAGATACCAAGCTCACCATTAACCCAGAAGTCATTGCATGGCCCAGGCATTTCAATGAGGTAGGAAAAATGTTTTACATCAGATTATAGGCCTGTGACAAGAGTTAAGCCCTGTTTACGACCTGAGTCAGAATCATTCAAACTATCGTTAACCTGGTCACAATGTGTGGGTATGAAAGCTGGACGGCGAAGACAGTCAGCAGGAACAAAATGGAGGTGTTCAAGACATGGAGCTGGAGGAGAGCTTTGCAGTTACCATTGACTCAGAGAAAGACAAGCAAGTGTGTCCTAGGTTAAATCAAGCCAGATGTTTTGCTAGGAGCAAAGAGGGCAAAACTGAAGTTGTCCTACTTGGGGCACACCATGAGAAGCCAAGACTTCCTGGAGAAAATCATCCTGCGAGGGAGAGTTGAAGGAAGATGAATTGGAAGACCAAATATGAGAGGGATTGGCTACATGAAGGACTCCACAGTCTTGGCTTCAGAACAGCTAAGCAGCTCCATCATCACCATAAATTAGAGATGACTTGATGGTACATAATGACAACAACAGCCTCAGCAACAATCTAGCCTCCCACCCAATCCATTCCAGAATGCCATGCTCATCTTCAGGTGGACAAACATAGAACACAAGTGTTCAGTATGTCTGAATTGTGTCAAAACCTGTGGGTAGATCAGGAGGGAACCTTGGAGATCTTGGGGCAACATAGCTGAGGAGAGGAGCTGGCCAGAGAGATGTGAGGACTCCTAGCACTGTCCCCAGTCCCCCTTTGCTCCTTTACTCCAGTTTGGGTTCAGGATACCTGAAGGAATGTCTCTTCCCCTATATGCCCCCAAGTTTCTTAAGATCAACAAGGGAGGTCTTCTCTTGGAACCATCTTTGAGGGAGGTATGGAGTGTATGCAGGAAGAGGAGGACCTTTTCCGCGAAGGCCCCCAGATTATGGAACATGCTCCATAGAGATGTCGCTGGGCGCCAACTCTATTCTTTCTAGTGCCAGGAAAGTCCTTTTCATTAAACTATCATTTTAAGAACCAATGTCTCTAATTTTAATGCTATCATTAATTATATACGGTCAAGCCTTCATTTTCTTTTATTTATTTTTCTTTCTTTTCTTTAATTAGGTGATGATATATTTTTGTTAATCTGTTTTATTATTGAATGTCTTTAATACTATTTACAATAATTTATTGTTAGTTTTATTTCTGTAAGCCGTCCTTAGACTGCTGCAAAGGACGGCATATAAATGTTCTAATTAAATTTAAATACATTAAATTGTTAGGTCGAACCCTGTTCTAGGTGCATGGAAAACTGTCGCCCGGGATACACCAAGGGGATCCAGGAGGGGGACCCCCCCATGCTGCTATACTTGTGCTCCATGTGCAAAAGGGACCATCTCCAGTCAGGAGGGTGAGCGTTCACAGAGAAAATGGGATTCCCTTGGGATACAGGCAAGTATTTCACCTCCATTGCCCTCTTTTGATTCTTGCTTCTATTCTTTCATCGTTCTTCTACTGTAATGTTTTCTTAAACTATGTTCTGCATCCCGCTAATCATTTTTTTGCTGTGCCAAAACAAAGACATTTAAATGAAGGCATTCATGTATGTAAAGTTTAGGAAAAGGGAGTAAAGTTATTTTGAGCTCTCCTTCTTGGATTCCACAGGCAAGGGTGAGATAGATATACAATAAATAAAATAAATAAATTGTATGATTTCAAAAACGTACAAACATAGACACATTTTAACTGTTTAAATATGTGCCCTTTTACAAGGAATCAGTGGAAGCCCATGTGGATCCATTCCTCTCCATATACTTTCCAAGACAGATCTGTGAGATGGGTACAGGTGAGAGGAAATGGCTGGCCCAGTCACACAGTGAGCTTGCAGGTTCAAGTGATGACTAGAACCTAACCCTCCTCAGTCCCAGCCTAACACCCTAACCAGTACAGCACACTTACAGACGTGGGCCTGTCTCCACTTTCCTCAGTGAAACTTCAGCAGCATGCTCTCAACTGTAATCAAATGATGGCTGTTTGGGCTGCACACTGGATGATGGTGATGCTAAGGTGCCTCTTCCCACTTCCAGATGCAGAGCACTGCACCACGTGTCCAGAAGAGAAGCACCCGAACCAGGACCAAGATCAGTGTGTCCTTAAGGACATAACTTTCCTCTCCTATGAACAACCTTGGGAATTGTCCTGACCACCTTTGCTCTGCTCTTGTCCTTATCCACAGGATTTGTGTTAGGAATCTTCTTTAAATACCAAGAAACTCCACTCATACAGGCCAACAAGAGGGATCTCTCCTACATTGCCCTGGTATTCATCATGCTTTCCTTCCTGTCCTCCTTCCTCTTCATTGGTTAGCCAAGGAAAGTCACTTGCCTTCTCCGACAAATGGCCTTCAGCATCATCTTCTGGATTTCTGTTTCATCAGTGTTGCCCAAAACCATGACTGTGGTGCTGGCCTTCCTGGCCACAAAACCAGGGAACAGGGTGAAGAGGTGGCTGGGGAAGAGCCTTGCAAACACCATTGTCATTTCATGTTCCAGTGTGCAGGTCATCATCTGCTCCATCTGGCTGGGCATCTCTCCACCCTTCCCAGATGCTGACATGCACTCACAGCCTGGACAAATCCTCCTGCAGTGCAATGAAGGGTATGTGGCCAAGTTCTACACTGCCCTTGGCTATATGGGCTTCCTGGCCTCCATCTGCTTTGTGGTGGCTTTCCTTGCTAGGAAGCTGCCTGGTGCCTTCAATGAGGCCAAGCTGATCACCTTCAGCATGCTAGTCTTCTGCAGTGTCTGGGTGTCCTTTCTGCCCTCCTACCTGAGCACCAAGGGGAAGTACATGGTGGCTGTGCAGGCCTTGTCCATCTTGGCCTCCAGTGCTGGGCTTCTGGGCTGCGTCTTCATCCCCAAGTGCTACATTGTAGTGCTGAGGCCCGATCTGAATACAAAAGAGAATATATTGCTCAAATTCAAACAGGGCATCTGATCATATTCTTCAGGCTCAGTTGTATGGCTGCCACCCTTGAGCAATGCCTCATTGCCTGATACAATGATTTTTGTCACACTGTGCCTTTTGGCAGGCATTTCCTCTAGGTAGACATTTCATTTCTGGCCATCAAGATGAAAGGCCACAGGAAGGAGGAAAGGAAAGTACCATTTGCATATGGACTGAGCCATAAGACCCTGCTTTCTCCTTTTGTAGAGGATGCTCAAGGATTCCATCTGTGCAGAAAGTTGTTCAGATTCCTCTGTTTTGACTTCCCAGACTAGCAAATGCTCTATCACACATGTAGCACTGTTTTGAGGGGAATCTCACTGCTGCTGTGAGGTGCCCTGGGATAGCCATGGGAGGACTGAACAGGGAGGAGGGGAGGCAAAAGACACCTTGCACCCCATGTACTCAGTCATCATCCTCGTCATCTTCTGCTTTATCTATACCCTGAGTATTCCCAGAGATTGGGAAGAATGCAGCCTTCTCTTGGGTTCATCAGGTCTCAGGCTGGTTCTCAACCATACAGGCTGATTCCTGTGTTCTGAGGGCCCACACTGAGGACGTTCAGGACTCCATGCTGACCGGGTTCTAAAAGAACAGCCCTGGTAGTTCCAGGATCACTCCCTCACTCTACTGCCATTTCCACGGCCCTTATGAGCACCAGCTGGGAACCCTGGGAAAAGCTATACAAGAACTGGCCTTTCCCTCCAGAAGCTGCCTTAGGAAAGAAGTTCCTTCAATTTGTTGCTGTGCTGGTTGGGGTTACCACCCCTCTCCCTTCACTGTTCCTCTTCCCTCCTTGTTCTAGCTTCCCATGGGGCTAGCCTCTCATGGGTCTCAGTGTTTGTGAGGCCAGGGGGATGCACACACTTCCGGCAGTGGGTTGAATGTGCAGCACCTCTTCAGGTCCTGACCTGCTGGTGTGGGGCATGGCCAACCTGCTTAGGACAGATTAACACACATCTGTGCTGTGACAAGCTCCCGCCCAGGGGGCTCCGCAATTTGGATAATTCTCTTACGGAGTCCTCAGAAGAACTGCATGAGGAGCTGGGCCTCGAACCCTGCTTTGCTCACATAACCCAGTGGAGGGTAGAGACAGTGCCTGGTGGCCAAGCAGGTCTTCTCCATCTTGGCTTCCAGTGATTGGCTGCTGGAAATCATTGCACTGAGACATCATTGCACTGAGGCCCAGTCTGAGTATCAGGGAGCACCTCAGCTTGAAAACCAGGTATGGCCTTGATCCTCATTGCTAGAGACAGGTTTGACTTCTGCCATGCACTCTGCTTAGGAATGTGTGGAATGTGTCCTTTGGTGTGAACAAGGAATACAATACTGCATACACTATTTATTGCGGGGCGGGCACAATGGTCTGTTGCTTTTCAGGGGTTTCTGAGCAAGGACAGCATGATACATATTATTATCTCACGATTTGGTTAAGTCACCAACAAACAAAAGCTGTTGATTATGAGGTTCTGCAAGTGTCCACAATTGGTTTGAAAGACGGACACAACTACAGGGTCACAGCTGTACCATATCTATTTTTATTTATTTCACGGTACTGTTGCCCTGAGACATTTTGAAAGGCAAGAAACAAGAACATCAATGAATGAAATAAATAATTAAACAGGGACCCAAGTGACAGGGTCCATGCACTCTCCTCATCCCCTCATGATCCCCTAAATTTGAAGGCATCAACAAGGCTTCATTTCATCTCCCTACTTGCTCAATATGTTTGTGGAACATCTCAGCGTGGAAGCAGGTTTGGATCAGAGGAAGCAGGACTGTAAATGGGTGGAAGAGACATCAACCATTGATGATATGAGGAAGATACAATGTTACTGGCACAGAACGGGAAAAATGCATGTTCTAGCCATGATGAATGGCTGTAATTTCCTATGTCCTCAATGTTTCCAAACTGCATGTCTTGTGCTTGGCTTATGCATTCTTGATTCTCAAGGACAAGCCACTATCAATATTCTTCCCTCCCAACCGCCCCCCCAGAGGACAGAGCCTTGTGTGTGAGATCACAACAATGTGTTTTCTCCAGCTGCACCGCTGAGCCCAGCTCATTTAGAGAGAGCAATTCAATCAGAAACTTGCCCAGGAGGGCCTGTTGTCCCTGAGGGCCCCTAATTGGGAGCTGGGAGAAAGCAAGAAGTCACTCCTTGCTCTCTGCCTGAAAAGCCAAGTGCATTCCATGCTCCTGCCTCACCAGGTTCTCGGCTGTGAGCTGTGCCCATGTCTGTGCAGCGGAGGAGGGTGACTCTGTTTGAGCTCTGAGATCCCAGGACGTAGGACGCCAACCTGGCTAGGTTTCCTGGGATAGAGGGGAGACGTTCTGAGAGCAGAAGCACCATGTCCTCCCTACCTCCAGTGCTGCTGATGCTGCTGCTCCCTCAGGCAGCCTGTGAGGTGGAAAAGGCACATTACCCCATGAATATGACCCCGAGTCCAAATGGGGCAGCCAATTACTACCACCCAGGAGACTACACTGTTGCTGGGGTCTTGTCCTCACAATATTTTAAGTCTTTCCAACCATACCGCTTTTCAGTGTCCCCTTTAACCAGGGTGGACAGGCAAGTACCCATCATGCAATGCTTCTCACCCTATGCATCACATCCCATTTCTCCTGGTTCCCACAACTACCCCAGGATTCTGCTCTGCCTACTTCGCCTGAGATGTGAATTTGGAAGGATTGCTGGGAATTTGGGGAAGGCTCTGTCTCATTCAATGGGATTGCATAAGGCGGCATGATGAAGGTTCCTTGCATTGCTGTGATGTGCCATCAAGATGAAAATAATGCATAGTGTGGAGAGAGGCAATAACACTCGAACCTGGGGGCAACAATGAAGCAGATGGGTGTGAGGCTTAGGACAGATCAGAGAAAGAACTTCTTGACACAGCATAGAGTCAAACTGTGGAATTTGCTGCCATGGGAAATGGTGATGGACACAATCTAGATGGCTTTGGGAAGAGACTAGAGATTCATGAGGGAGCAGGCTATCTATTTCTACTGTCCTCACTGGCCATGCATGTCATCCTTGACCAGAGAGGTTTGCCTGCATACCCCAGTGACCAAGAAGCTTGGGCAGTTGTAGGTTGTGATCCTACTTGAGTGATCCTGTTGGCAGCTGGTTTGCCACCATGTGGATGGAGTGCTTTTTCAGATGGACCTGTGGTCTGGTTCAGCAGGGCTGTTCTTATGTTCTTACTTCCTCCCTGGGATTTTAGATTTCTGATTCATGACTCAAAGTCATGTTGCCCTCTAGTCCAGTATTCCAAACCAATTGATCTTATGAGTTGACTTGCAAAAAAGCAGGTTCAGACCCACCATGGCGAGAATGGCGGATACTGTGGTTCTTTATTTTACTTTTCAAAAGTAAAGGAAATTCAGTGAATTAAAGCAAAAAAACCAGCCTGCTGAATTTGGGCCTCCAAGTGCAGGGCAAATGTGGGTGTATGACAGATGAATGGTAAGGATGCATGATACCTGTTCCATCAATCATCGCTTTTGGTTTTCTGGCTTTGTGTAGCTTCAGTCAGCATGAGAGAGCCCTAACTCTGGTCTCTGAATGTTGTAACAGAGAGAGAGAGAAATTTTCTCTCTTAAGGCTGTTGATTGGTCTGTCCAAAAAGGAAGCACAGTCTCTCCCCCTTTACATAGAAAAGAGCAAATGGATATGTATTTTCTTTGCAACAAGATTACCCAGATTACACCTACAAACCGCTAGGTGAGGATCACCTCTTCTGAGATTTACAAGTAGATTGTCTGAAAAGAACTCCCAGTTGATGGAGGAAAGAAAGTGACATTTCTTTGTCATGGTTTCTTGTGTCATTCTGCAGTTTGCGAGATACACGGTACTGGCATGTGCTGTCCTTCTTGTTTGCCATTCAAGAGTTAAATGGGAATCCGGAGCTCCTACCCAACCTCACCCTGGGCTATGACCTCTATAAGTCCTACTTTGATGGGAGAACAACTTCCTACGGCATGCTGAGACTGCTTGCGGGTGGGGGAACCGACCTTCCCAATTACAGCTGCGGCAGAAAGACGAACCTGTTGGCTGTTCTTGAAGGGACCGAATCGGACCTCTCCACCCTGATTTCAGCCATGTCAGGCATCTATAAAATCCCACAAGTATGGCTTGCATGTGGGCAGGAGGAGAGAAACCTGTCTGTGGGAGGGAGCACATGCTCAGCTTAGATCTCTCTATGAGAACCCTTGGCCCATGGACAGCATGTCCCACAGAGCATGTGAGCAGCTGGTGGTGGCAGAGGAAGCAGGACCAAGGTGAAAAAAAGAGGGGCAGGAGGGGGACCACAATCACTTCTGGTATCCAAGGTTGGAACAGGTGGACAGTTCCCAAAGGTCCTGGGATTATGGTCCCTGTGGCTGATCAGCAACTGTCATTTCATAGAATCATAGAATAGTAGATTTGGAAGGGGTCCTGGAGGTCATCTGGTCCAACAGCATGCTGTCATAGGACACAAAGTTACACCATCCCACTCAGATGGCCGTGCAGTTTCTTTCTGAATGTCTCTAGTGTGAGATAGCCCACCACCCCTCTAGACAGCTGGTTTCACTGTCGTATTGCTCTGACACTGATATCTAGCCTGAATCTGGGTTCTCACAGCTAGAATTTCCTCTTTGTGACATCCTTTGAGGTACTTCTAGAGGGATACTATGCCCCCTCTCAGCCTTCCCTTCTCAAGGTTCAATATGCCCTGTTCTCTGAGTCTCTCCTCACAGGGCAGTGTTTTCAAAAACTGGATCATTTTTGTTGTCCTCCTCTGGACCCTTTCTCATTTTTCTGCATGTTTTTTAAATCCAGAAGCCCAGAACTGGACACACAATTCCAGATGGGGTCCGATTTAAGCAGAAACTGGAAAGAGTATAATTCTCTCCCATAAGGAAAGGAATACCTGGAACATTCAACTTTGGTCTCAGTGGCAAGGATGCCACTTGGATTCTTTCAGCAAATATAGAAATAAGTGAG